AAAAAAAAAAAAAAAGACCTTAAAGATCGAAGCCATAGATGAATGAAGCACACACCACCAGTTTCTGGACAGTGAATGCCTCTAGGGAGGGAGAGATGAAAAAGGGTGGGAGAGGTGGGCCCAAGCATTTGCTGTATCTTCAAAGATATGTTTTCTTCAAAATGGGGAGAGAATAAACAAAGCAAATATGATGACATGTTAAATTTGCATAAAATCTGGGAGTTGGGTACACGAATATCCATGATATTGTTTGCTGTGCTTTTCTGATTCTTTTAAATATTTCACAATTAAAATGTTCAGAGTGAATTGTAGGATTCCAAGTCAGTCTGTGAAATGTGTATACTGTTGGACCCAGCACTTCTACTTCTGGAAGTGTATCCTAAGGATATCACAAAGGGTGTGCAAGGATAGTGTATATGCAGGCAAGAAAAAGCTCTGGGAAGTATACCCAAGCGTGTTAAGGGGATGCGTATCTCTGGATGGTCGGGGAATTATATTTTTGGTCTTTCACAGTTTCTAGGTTTTCTGCTATGAATACACACTACCTTTTGTAATAAGAAGAAAGTAAGAAGGAGGAAAAGGAGAAGAAAAGCTCAGTTATACTGCAAATTCAAGGAGGTGCAGTCTCATTCCAGCTCTGGGGGATAAATGAGATGCTACAGTATTACAACACTTAATATGATACACTTACTATGGTTGTTTTCCCCGAGGCGGGTGGACCTAATATTACAATCCTCGGCACTGTGGAATAAAAAGATTTGAATGTCACCACTCAGCATGACAAGCAGCCTTCCACGTCTGCAGTACTCGGAGTGTACTTACTTCTTCCCTCCCCAGATTTCATTTTCTGCCAGTGACATGGCCATCTGTAACCCGGCGGCTCAGAGGCACTCTTGCCACGGAACATATTCTCTGTGTTTAGAGAGCTTAGTGATCACCAAGATGGTTTATTCTTCTACCTCCAAGGGGACATGGACACGGTAACTTGTTTACCAAACCCATAAATATCAAGAGCAATTGGGATTTCAAACACCATAAAGCATTTTAAACAAGGACTTTGTCTCAGGGAGGCTCTCTCCAATAAAGCTGTAATTTATGTAAATCGACCTTAGAAGCTTTTTTTTTTTTTTATGTTTATGCCTTTTTATTTAGCAAATTGTATTCCCCATGATTTTACAGAGGGAAGTAATGGGAAAAGCCTGGAGTATATGAGCCAGATTTATAAAACCTGAGAAAGGAACATTTCTCAGGTTTTATAAACCGACGGACGTTTCTATGCAAATGGAAGACAATGGCAGCGTGTTTGATTTTAGTCTTGGCTGGTTTTGGTCCCACAGAATTCTTAACCCAGGCTACTGACAAGAGTGGGATGTGAACCAACAGCTCCTGGACCTGTGTGTGACCCAGAGTCTGGGCTCACCCGGCAGGTGAAGCTCTGGGGGCAGGCCCAGGCCCTGGCCTTTCCAGGCCCTGGAAAGGCATTTTCAGCTTCTGGCGGGGGAGAGCCAGGGCACAGATTCAGCGGCCCTTCCTCTGTTCAAGGCCTGTAAGCTGGGGCAAAGCCTATCAGGGCCCTCCCCGTAGGTGAGAGAAGCCGCTGTGGGTGGAAATACTGCTTGCAGGACAAGTCTGGGAATGAGCAGACTTTGAGGCCAGTGGTCAGGTGACAGGATGAGGTGAGATGGAGCTAGAGTGGCTGCTGGCGACCGGAGAAGAGATGACCAGCATGGCGAGAAGGGTGCTGGAAGGCATCACACTTGGGTCAAAATGAAGGGAACAGCAGTGGGGGCTGCACAGACGCACCCACACTGCCCACGTGCTGAACACCATCTTGATTGTGCCAGCTCTCCCTCCTTGTAGGGAGCTGGTAACCTTGGCCTGGCCCCTGACCCAAAGGGACAGATGAACAGACGTCCACTGCAAGTCACATGAGCCTCTAACGTCTGCATGAGAGCCCCTTCCAGCCAGGCTTCTGGGAGGGAATCTTGTCTCAGCAGAGGAGGGAGGTGCATGGCCTTCTAGTTTGGAGGCAGACACAGAAAAGGAGATGGACAGTGTCCTTTTGGCCAGTAATTTAATGGTTAGCACATCTACACCCAGCGGCTGCTTGGGTTTAAATGGATGTTTGTCCAAATTCTTGGTACCTTCTCATTTTTGGAGGAAGTCAAGGTAACTCGCTGAATGATCCTCTCCTCTGACCTCAGAAGCTGTGGACCTTCTTATTCTCCCTGTGGATGTTCCCTCCACGTTCCTGCCTTGCCACCTGTCATTTCCCATCAGGAACGTCCTCCCTCCCCAGCCCCTGGCACCCCCAGCCTCCCACTCCTTCTTCCTCCCTGAGATCCTTGTTCTTGCTCCCCTGTGGTGGCCCGTGATCAAGTGGCAGGCTGCTGCAGCCTTCCACGCTGGTGAATGTCAGCATGCTGCTGAGAAACAGGAGGAGTCGCTGTCCCCACAGGAAGAGAAGCTCCCAAGGGCAGAGACAGAGTCTCGTCCTCCTGGATCACCCCATGGCACCTGGAACTGTGAGAAGCCACACAGAGTGAGCTTCAGGACCACCTCCTTGGCTGTCCCCATCTTGTTCTATGATCACCGTTTGTCACCTTTGTCACCATCATTACTATGGTCTTAAAAAGGGTCCCCCTCTGCCAGTCAGCATGTTTGGGTAGAAGTGCAGGAAATGGATGAGTCAAGAAGAGAAGGGGGGTTGATTGCCCACTACTGCAATCCCAGCAGTTTGGGAGACTGAGATGGGCAGATCACTTGAGGTCAGGAGTTTGAGACCAGTCTGGCCAACATGGTGAAACCTCGTCTCTACTGAAAATACACAAAATTAGACAGGTGTGGTGGCACATGCCTGTAATCCCAGCTACTTGGGAGGCTGAGGCAGGAGAATCACTTGAACTCAGAAGGTAGAGGTTGCAGTGAGCTGAGATCACGCCACTGCACTCCAGCCTGGGTGACAGAGCAAGACTTCGTCTTAAAATATCTATATCGATTGATCAGTCGATCAATAGATAGGTAGATAGATAGATAGAAAAACCAGCATGGCTCACAGAGTCCTGCACAGGTTGGGGAGCCAGGCCCTCAGGGCTACCCCACAGGAATAACACCCCAAGCAAGGCCACCAGATGGGCTGGGAAGACACCAGACAGTGCAGCCCGTGCCCATGATGCCACTGACACACGTGGGCATGGCACTGCCATCAACCATGCTGCCCTTCCCCCCAGGAACCAGGCCCTGCAGAGCTGCCAGGGAGTGCTCTGGGACCTGCCCGTGATTCCGAGTCTGGCAGGTGAAGCTCTGGTGGCAGGCTCGGGCCCTGTCATGGAAGCTGGGAAGGTGTTTTTAGCTTCTGGAGTGGGAGCCAGGGTGGGCATTCAGCGGCCTATTCTCTGTTCTAGAGCTGTGGCCGGGGCAAGGCCTTCCAGGGCCCTCCCCGTGGGTGAGAAAAGCCACTCTAGGAAGCTGTAGGAAACACTCCTTGCAGGACAAGTCTGGAAACAAGTTGGCTTTGAGGACATGTGGTCAGGTGAGAGAATGAGGTGAGATGGGAGCCAGGGTGCCTTGGGAGGTTTCTGGGGAGGAGTGGCAGGAAGGGTGTTCAGGGTGGAGAAGCCTTGGCCCATGAGGCAGAGGGCTCACCTGGACCACAGGGAGAGCACCTGCTTGGCCAAAGTCGGGTGAGGGAGCAGTGGGGAACCTGGGTCTGCTCATGCAACACTACCTGCTGCCCCTCCAGGGCTCTGACCACAGGCCCTGCTGAAGCTCCTCCAAAAACAGACAAGACCCAACGGGACTCAGTGGGCACAGAGCCTGAGGGGCAGGGAGATGCAGCTCAGCAATGGCCTTGGGGAATGAACCTGACTCCTGAGTCACGCACTAGCCTGAGAGTTGCTGGGCTGGGGGCTGCAGGGAAATCCTCCCCTTCTAGGTTCCCATAAGTGGCACCCAAATGGTACACATCTATGAACATACTTTAAAAGGGGAACATCCACGGCCTTTCTCCCCACCTAATTTCTCCCACACATTTATGTGATTAATTTCAGTTTCTTAAAATCTAACACCTTGAAACTCCAGCCCTGCTCATGAGTAATTATTTATAAACAGTGTCATAAAAGGCTGCTTGACTGCCAAGAGTAATCAACTTCTTCCAACCACTTCAAAGGAAATCAAAAAACCTTTCCATCCACAGATCCTTTTGAGGTTTAACTAGGAGCATGATTTAAAATTCACAAGAAAACCCTTAGGTATTGGAGCTCTAATACACGGCTTTCTTGGACAAACGTTTGATAAAAAACGAAACACACCATTATATACACCATCGCCTGCTTTAATATTGCCCAGGGCTACTGTAAATGCTCACTTTGTACTAAATCTGCTTTTCTGGCGGCGAAGGGGCTGCCAGCCCATGTGCCGGGCTCCCTCTGCTCCCTCATGTGCTCACTCACCGCGATGAGTCCTGGGCCTCCTCTCCCTCTACCCCAGTCACCAGCCACATCACTGCATGTGGCAGTTAATCCCAGGCCCAGCAAGAGGAAGGGGTGAGGTCCTGGCTATAGTTAGCAGACGATGCTGCGTGGCTGGAAGGGGGCAGGATGACCTGACATACCAGCCCGGAAGAACAAAAACATACACGGGACGTCATGGGCCTCTCCAAGCCTCCCGCACTCTTCTAGGACACATGAGGGTTGGGCTTAGCTGATTCAGGCTTCTCCCTACTCCTAGACGAGTCGCCAAGGCAGGTAGTCTCCCCTCCTCCTTCACATTTCTGCTCCACTTGTCTGCAGACGCTTGGGAAAAGGGAGAGAAACCCATGGGTGTCCCTCTCTTCTTTCCATTTCAGTGGTTGGGACTTGAGCCAAAGGACAAAATGTTCCAACATCCACAAAAGCCACCAGCTGAGGGCCTGCAGTGGGGTACAGGGCTGTGGGGAACAAACTCCCCAAAACAGTGGTTCCTGGGACCCAGTGACTCTACTCCCTGAGAGCATCTGGGCCAAGAGCTTGACTCAGCTATTCAGGAGGACAGACAGGAGGCTGGCCCCCAGCTAGAGATGGCACAAGGCAGGTCTGGATCCTTCATCCCTGCTCGAGAGCAATGGAGCAGGTGCAATGCAGAGAAAGGAGCAAGGGCTCCATGGAGGGAGCCTCTGGGAAGCCCCAGACCTGCGGGTGAAGGGAAAGGGGCGCTGAGAAGAGTGGGAAGAGGAGATGAAGAGGCGGAGGCGGGAGCAAGGGTGGCTGTCCAGCCGACATCAACTACACTGCATCCAAACCAAAAAGAGGATGTTTAAACTTCAAAATCCTGATGAAGTGGATAGTTTGACATTGAAATTAAAACTGCACACAGAGGGGCAAGATCAAAACATAAAGAGATAATTGAATCTGCCTCAAATTTCTTGAGATTCAAGGCTCTTGAATTTCTGGGCTGGGGAACTAGGTAAGCCTTGATGTTAGTGGTTTAAAGACACAGACGGCAGGGCACAGTGGCCCATGCCTGTAATCCCAGTGCTTTGGGAGGCCAAGGCAAGAGGATCACTTGAGCTCACGGGCACAGACCTTGGCAACACAGTGAAACCCCATCTCTGTAAAAATATTTCAAACATTAGCCAGTGCAATAGCATGCACCTGTAGACCCAGCTACTCAGGAGGCTGAGGCGGGAGGATCGCTTGAGCCCAGGAGGTCAAGGCTGTAGTAAGCTATAATTACCCCACTGTACTCCAGTCTGAGCAACAGAGTGAGACCCTGTCTCTAAAAAAAAAAAAAAAAAAAAAAAAAAAAGAGAGAGAGAGAGAGAAAGGAAAGAAAAAGAGAAGAGCACAGGGCATGCCCCAAGTAGGATTTTCAAACAGTAGGAAGTGTCAGTGCAACCTAATTTATGAGAGTTCAAGTGGTTACATTATTACCAGGCACATTTTTTTTTTTTTTAGAAAGTTTCACTATGTCGCCCAGGGTGGAGTGCAGTGGTGTTCAAGGTGCAGTCGCGGCACTGTGGTCTCAAACTCCTGGCCTCACGCGATCCTCCCATCTCAGCCTACGAAGTAGCTGGAGCTACAGGTGCACCACCACACCCAGCTGTCAAGCACAATTTTTTTCTTTTTTTTGAGACAGGGTCTCACTCTGTCACCCAGGCTGGAGTGCAATGGCAAGATCTTGACTCACGGCAACCTCCACTTCCCAAGTTCAAGCGATTCTCCCGCCTCAGTCTCCTGAGTAGCTGGGATTACAGGCATGTGCCACCACGCCCAGCTAATTTCTGTATTTTTAGTAGAGATGGGGTTTCGCCATGTTGGCCCGGCTGGCAAGCACAGCTTTTAATTTAGATAAATCTATCAAGCTTTTCACCAGTGGAAACTCGACATCGCATCCCTAGGAGCCCCCTACCCATGCGTGCAGCAGGGATGTCCCATTCCTTCAGCCACCACTGACCAGGCCAGAGCTTCACGGCTTCCCTCTGGGTTAACCAAACACATCTGTTTTACAAATGAGGGAAGTGAGGTCAAAGAGCAACCATCTCTCATGGTCTCTATATTTTCAGATGAGTGAGCTGAAGGGTCCCTGGCAGTGGCGGGGGCAGGGTGGCAGGAGAGGCCTGCGCCCCGCCGTGAGGTTGGCTTTGTCTTACTCTGATTTACTTTAGCTGTTGCTTGGCCCTTTTTTCACTTTTATTTTGTGTTTCTTTTTACTTTGCTTTCCCTTTGCTGTCCATCCTTTCTCTGGTGGTGGCAGTGTAAGATAGTTGCGTGGAGGCAGGGATGCTATCCACAGCCCTGGAATAACACCCAAGCCTCCATGGGGGCGAGGGGAGTGTGGGAACTTCTTCCTTGGCAAATGGAGTCAGTGAGGCCTGGGGGCAAGCCTAAGTCTGCAGCAGTAAGGGACACTCAGGAGGGCAGGGTGGCTTTAACACCCACCCTAAGAGCAGGTGAATCTGGAGAGGTAGAACCTCCCACCTGTGCCATATAATAAACAGCAAACCAGAGAAAGGAGGTCTCTAAGAGTCACTGCAGGACAGAATAAACTGCACTAGGAAGGTGGGGTTGGGGAGATTGAAAATCAGACACTGGGAAGGGGGTTCCGAGGCCACCCCAGCACCGCTCCACCCCTGCCTGGGCACAGGGACTCTCAGTCAACATCTGCTGAACGAGGGAATGCCCAGTGAATCGGCCATTTGTGCCTAACTAGAGGCTCAGAAAAGGGTCTCTTTGTGGCCCCTTTGTAGGGTCTCTGAATCTGCCCACCTAGTTTCATGCAGTGGCATCAGGACCTAAGATTCCATCATCCTCCTGCTCTGCAGCCAGGCCTGGATGTGTCAGGACCACCATGCAGGACATGAGGAAAAGGCTTGAAACCTCCTCTCTCACCTGTTTCTCTCTTTCCTTCTCTCTTCCTTCTTCTCCTCCCTCCCTCCTTTCTTTCTTCTTTCTCTCTTTCTTTCTTTATTCCTAGCTTCATTTCTCCCCTTGGGCCTTCTGAACCTCTGCACTGGGCATCTCAGGCCTCTGTCTTCAGCTGTACCAAGTGCTAATTTCACTGGTAAGTGTAGCTCCTTTAAAGCAGCTAATGCTCCAATGAAAGAAACATAAAAGCCCCCAGACATCAGTCCTCCCCAACAGCTCACAGTGGACGGGACTGATCCTCTCTTGGCAAATCGACTGTGGAGTGGAGTAGAAAGGAGGGACCTTCCTTGTGTGAGCGCCTCCCTCCTCCCCAGTTCTGTGCTCTGGCCTTGGGTCTGGCTGACCTGCACTGGTCGATTGCAAAGGTTTGGGGAGCTCGGAAACTCATTAACAGGTGCCAATGATGAGACCGTTGGAAAAGCCCAAGTGCTTGCCTGTCTAGGTAGACCAGAAACCAAACTTACACCTGACAAGTGGAGTGATGAGAGAGCTGAAACCTAACGCAACATCAACTAGGGCAGGCGAAAGCATTAATAATTGATTCCATAGGCCATTCTGGGGTTTTCATTTTAATAACTTGGCAAGAAAATTTTTACAAGTTGGGCTCCAAAAGAAACTAACGCATTTTTCAATTAACCGACACCTCAAGTTGTTGAAACCCCTCCCTTCTGACCTCCCTTCAGACACAGGTAGGACAGAATGGTGCTCAGCTATTCTCAGGGTTGGGTAGGGTCCCTGAAGAGGAGGAGGAGGAAGAGGCAGAGGAGCTGGGGAAGAAGGGGAAGGAGGAGGAGGGAAGGGGAAGATGGGGAGGGGAAGCCCCAGCCAGTGCTCACCATTGTCGTTGTCTCTACGCAAGTGTTGGATCATGAAGGGGATGGGGTCCTCAGGCTGGTGGATCAGAAGTTGCTCCAGCATGTTCTGTAGGTACAGGGCAGACACCCAGGTTATTACTACCTGCAGGGACACCTGGTCACCATAGATGCTAGCTATGGGGCCTGCTTTCTCCACTGCACCCCACCAAACATGACTTCGGCCTGGGACCCAGCTCCTGCCAAAACTGGCATCTGCTTGGGTCCTCATGAACAGAGGCATGAGTGGGGCCACGTGGTGCTGCTGGGGAGCACCTAGAGGGAGGCAGAAGTGGAGGAGCCTCGCCCTGATTCAGAGTAGGCAATCCCAAGGCCCTCTCCCCTGGGGCCCTTTGGGCTTCCCAGACAAGCCTTCTCCAAGTTCTTAAGCATCACTGTTCCCCTCAGAGCCTTGGCAGATGAAGCTCCTTCCTCATTTTCATCCTGGCTAATTTCTGCTCAGTCTCAGATCTCAATGGGAACATACCTTCTTGAGTATGTGCACTAGGTAAATATGTCAGATGCTCCTGTACCTGCCTGCAGGCATCGCCGTGTTTCATGCCTCACCCTGTCCCTACTCACCAAGCCATCATTCTCTCAGCAGGCCATGCGTTCTGTGGGCTTCCTCGTCTACCTAGAGCCCTCCTGGCACCCCAATGCCTGACAGTCATAGCAGATGCCCAGTGCAGATGTTTGTTGGGAAACAGACCATCACCACTACCTGTGTCCCTCCAGAATGGAATGGAATATTTACCAGCCAGATTTCTAAATAGTCCTGGGATAGTCTGGCCATTTCATCCAATCAGGCAAACATATCAAAGGTAAGTGGCTTCTGGGGTCGCAAAACCCTAGGCACAGAAATGAGAGGGAGCTGACAGCAGCTGTGCTGTCACAATAAGGGGTATCCTTCAGCCCCAGGGGCAAGGAAGGAAAGGGGCTCCAGCCCTCTGGGAGCGAAGGGAGTGTGGGGCAAGAAAAACAGCACCGAGCCATGGGAAGTCTTGGTTCCAGCCCCACTGTATCTCATCAGCAAGCCCCTTCCCTTCTCTGGGCCTTAGCTTCTCTAACCATTCAGTAGCACAGCTGGAGTGAATTCATGTTTGTATATCACTGGTGCGATGGAATGAGATGATTTTAGATGGTTCACACATAAATATTTTAAATTTCATGTTTAAATCATCATGTATTTAATGTGTATTGGAAAACTAAGTACATCAAATCTATAATTTCAAGGATATCACTTAGGAGGAGGCAAAGCAGCTATTTAATTTTTTAAAAGTTGAGTTGATTTCAAAAAGTGATTAGTTCAAGTGGAAATGCAGTAGTGGTTATGCGAATCTGTACATGTGATAAATGCACAGAACTGTAAGCACAACAAAAACATCCACACAGGCAAAAAAGGAGGAAATCCAAATCAGGCCTACAGTCCAGGTAATCCTGCTGTACCGATACCAGTTTCCTGGTTTTCACAATGTGCTACAGTTATGTTAGATGTTATCACTGGGGCTACTGGGGGAGACCAGATATCCATATTTTCTAACTTCCTGTGAATCTAAAATTATTTTAAAATAAAAAGTATAAAAAATGAAAATGATCAAAACCACGGAGGGAATACACAGATGACTAAAACTGGAAATACTGGACTAAAAGCTTTCTTGTTGAAGGCTGAGGCAGAAGGACTGTTTGAGTCTAGGAGTTCAAGACTAGTATGGGCAACATAGCAAGACCTCATCTCTACTAAAATAAAAAATAAAAAAGATCAGCCAGGTATGGTGGCCTGCACCTGCAGTCTCAGCTTCTCTGGAGGGGCTGAGGCAGAAGCACTGCTCGAGCCCAGGAGTTCAAGGCTGCAGTAAGCCATGACTGCAGCACTGTGCTCCAGCCTGGGCAACAGTGCAAGACTCTGTTTCAAAATAAATAAAAGCTTTCTTGAGCAATTCCTCCAACAATCACTGTGAAAAACACATCAGGTTCTCTAGAGTAGACCACAGGGCTCCGGATGCTCCCCTCCTGTCCTCACCTGTTGACTTCTAACCCAGCTAGCTATTTTATTCTGATTGGCCAGTCAAGCAGTTTTAGGAATCTCTCGCACTCCCTCGATCAGTTAACACTTTCCGAGGAAAACATGTTTGCTGAAGGTACAGACACAGGTTTCTTAGTCTGGGCTCAGCTATCCAGTGTGCAGGACAGAGGCTCGCATGACCACAGACACCACCATGCCCTCCCTGCCATTACCCCTGGGTATGGGGTGTACCCTGAGAAGCAGACAAATGTTCTGGAAGCTGAGCTCCACCTTCCCTTTGCCTCTCAGAATCTTTGAGTAGCTGAGAGTTCTTCCCCTCTAGCTCCTGAAAGCCTTGACTTCCATCAAGTGCAGAAGGGAGAACTGAGACCCCGGCGGGGGCGGGGCCTTGCCGAGGATCACATGGTGAGCTACAGGGGCCCAGTCACAGGCCCGGACCCAGGATGAGAGCTTTGGAGCTGCCGGGGACGTCTGGCCCTGAGGAGGAGGGGCCAGGGTGGGAAATGCTGCTGTCCTAGAGGCGGCCCTCTCGGAGGATGGAGATGCCAGCTTGAACTCGGACAACGACAACCTCAGAAACCTGGGCCGAGAAGCTCCCCACCAATTCGACAGATGGGAATTCTCAGCGTCGGGAGAGCCCCGGGAGACCATCTCTTGGAACCTGGCATTTCACATGCGGGGAAACCGAGAAAAGGAAAGGACTGGTTTCAGACCATAAGCCCGCTGGCGGCACAGCCAGGGCCAAAATCCCGGCCCGAGTGGCCTCCTGCCTCCCCCTGGGTCCGCCCGAGGCCGACCCGAGCAGGGCCAGAGGGCGTCCCCAGCTCGAGGGCCCCCTCGGGGTCACGGCGACACACTAATCTGACACCCGGAGCTGGGCTCCTTCGTGGGCTCCCGACTCGGCCCCAGCTGCGGGTTCCGGCTGCGCACCCGACGTCGCAGTGGAGGCTCCCGAGCCGCCGCCGACGTCGCGACAGGCAGGGCTGCCAGGTCACCTGCATCAACTCGAAGATGTGGTTCGCCTCCCCGTACTGAGGCATCTCGGGTGGGATACGGTGCGGGGCTGTAGACGCGTCCATGCAGCCGTCGCGGCGCGCCGCTCCCTAGTAACAGCGTCGCTAGGGCCGCCGCGCCGGCTGCGTCATCAGCGCGCGCCGCGGCCCCGCCCCGCAGACGCCTCCGCGCCCTGCCAGGGTTCCGGAGCCTCAGTCTTGCGCGTCGCCCCCCGCCCCGACCTCCCCGGCAGACGCGCTCGGCGGCTCGGGCAAGTTCTTTCCCCAACCCGGGCCTCGCTTTCCCCATTTGAGCATCTTAGCGGGGACACCCTCAGGCGGATTCCAGCTGGGCCTCCTCGGATTTGAGACCCCCGACGAAACCCAAGAGGGGCAAGTCGGCCCCCCGAGGTGGCGGGAGGCAGACCCTGCTTCTGGTTCTGTTAGCACTCCCTGTCCTCCCCCGCTGCCCCGCTCCCTATGCCTCAGTTTCCCCATCTTTAACAGACGCAGGAATAGATGTGGGACAGGCTGCTTGAACAGGGAGGGGCGTCTATGGGACAGGCCGGAGGTTCGAGGATCGGGTGGAAATCCTCAGGCCAACTCCTAGCGTCCAGGCCCGGGAGACCCCTCCTCCCGCTCCCGGGCTCACGCCGAGCGGCCACGTGACCCGATTGCTATGGCACCGGCAGTAACAATCAGGCCCGCGGCCCCGCCCCTTCTTACCGGACCTCCCCACCCATCCCCGCCTCCCAGGCCCTGGGGTGGGCCTCCCCCACCCTCCGGGGCCCCGACACTCCCGGAGTCACTCCAGTTTCAGGGTGCTCCGTGGACCGAAGAGCGCTCTAGGACAAGCAAGGGTAAACAGGGACGAAGGTGGGTAGGCCCACTCGGACCCCACCCCTGCCTCTGGGTCAGAAACTGGAAGCTGGAGTGGAGGATAGAAAGATGGAGGGGTCCGGAGGATAGAGGGGCCTGCACAGCTGTCTCTGGGACGCGAGGGTGAGGTTCGACTGGAGACTTTCCGAGTTGTGTGAATTCCCAGTGGTACGGGGTTGCCTGGTATTTTATTGGTCGCAACAATGAATTGGGAGCTCTAGCTCTGGTCTGTTGCCATTAATAGTAGGAGTTACCGTTTGTTGGACTCTTAACTTTGTGCTCACGGCAAAACTCTGTTGTCTCTGTACCTTATGGAGAGGGAAAATGGCACAGTCAATGCTTACAGCCCGGATGCAAGTCCCGGCTCCATTTCTTACTGTGTGGGCTTGGCAAACTCTTCACTTGTTTGTGCCTCACTTTCCTCCCCTGTGAAGCGGGGGGCTGCTGAAGGATTTCAGGAGCTGATGTATTGGAGAGTAATTGGCATGCAGTAAGCACGCAGTGTATGGGGCTACTATTAGTAGTAGTATCTTGTTTAATCGTTCCAACAACCTTCATTCCCATTTTACAGGTGAGAAATTGGAGGATTAGAACAGTGAGGACTGGTTGGCTGGGTAACTTTGGGTAAGTCATGTTCCCTTTCTGGGCTTCTTCCCTCATCAATTGTTGATGATACAACCTTAGAATCAGAAGGCCCCTTGAAGAAGAGGCTCATCCAAACTGTCTCATTTGACAGATGGATAAACTGAGGCCCAGAAAAGGGAGAAATCTTGGCTAGGGCATGAACTCGGCATCCAGGCTCCAGCTAAAGCCCTTTTCTACCAGCCAGCAGCCCAGAGACATGCCCTCCCGACGTAAAAGCCAGCACTGTTGCCTCTTCCCCTCCAAACTCTTTCCTCAAAGTGTGCACAGTTTGGTAGGCTTGTCAAAGCCAACTGTAAAGATAGCTGGGGAAGAAAAGGAAGCAGCCTCCCCCTGAGCAAAGAATGCAACAAGCAAGCCTGCCATCTGCACTGGAGAGGTTTGGTTTGCTTCCTGGACATTTCTGAAATGACTTGCCTTTCTCCTCATTTATTTTAAGCCCTAGGCGCTTTTCATACCATGATTTAATCTTCTTTAGCAGCCTGGAAAAATACAAATCAATTAAAGCCTAAAACCTGTGGGTAATCATTTTTTTTCTCCCTCCTCCAGATCGAAAAGTGCCCGTACCCTGTGCCTTTTATCCACACTAATTTGGCTGCAGTGGCTCTCATTCAAGGGCCGATCACTTCGGATAGCTTATTACAGCTCCTCTCATGACATTCCTGGTGTGCATGTCACAAGTTACTAGGATCAAGAGTGGAGTCAGTTTTGCTCTCAGGGGCTCTTGGGGCCACCAGCCAAGGTAGTGCTGTATCCCTGGAGAACTTGACAGCCCCAGGGAGCTAGGCCCACAAAGGGCAGCCCCTTGAATGTTTAGTCCTGTTTGTTTTGGGTCAAGAAAAAGGGAGAGTCTAGTGGTAATGGAAGTGGGGCCTAGGGCTAGGGGTCTAGCCAGTGCATGAACTGTAGCGAGGTCAGGCAGCTCATCAAGGCCTTTGCAGTCCCTATCCTCACTGCCGCAGTCAACTCTGATGTCTGGTGTGTTTGTCTCTAAGTACTACCAAGGGAAGGGGAGGAGGGAGGGAGGAGGAAGGGAGGGATCCAAGTTAAGAGCCCAGACTTTATAAAATAGCCAGGCAGAGCCAAGCAGGAAGTCCTGACTTGCGCATTCCTCATCCGGCCTCACTTTCCGACCTATCCTGTGAGGATAAGCATGGCGCCTCGCTCCAGGGCTGCCTAGAGCCCCATCAGGCGACCCCCCGCTCTTCTCAGGAGGACTGAAGTGAGCCACCCTTCTTCAGCCCAGGATCTAAGCACAGCTCCAGCTCTTCCGGCATGATACCCACCCTCCTCCTGCAAATGCCCCTCCTGCAGATGGTGGCCCCTCATTCTTGAGGTTCCCACCTGCTTCCCTGCTGTGTTTCCTCCTTATCTAAAATGCTGTTTGTTTCACTCTTCTGCATGGTCTACCTTCCCCTGTGAAAGATGAGTTCCTCCAGGGCAGCGAATCTTGTTGGCTAGCCCAGCGCCTGAATAGCACCTGGCACACAGTATGAGTGCACAAGGGAATGAGTGCATGCATGAAGTGCTTTTCACCGCCTTGGCTTAGAAGCCTCCTGCCGTTCTTTCAAATGCTTCTCCTGACACTGGGGTCCCTCAGCCTGACCCTGTCCACTGCCCTCTTCTGCACCTGCTTACGGCAGTCCCACATCCCCACCCCCCAACCTCTAGCCCAGGGTCCCACCCCCACTGCGTACCTGCTTCACCTCTCCACGGCCTCCTCTTTCTCAAGTCCAGGTTCAAACTTCCCCTCCTCCAGGAGGTCAAGTCCTCAGCAGTTCCTGCTTCGTTTGAGGGCCACACTGTGCTTGTGGTGTCCCCTGTTAGTGCACACACCCATGCTTCAGCCACAGTAGCGTTGATGATTCTGATGATGGCACCGCCACATTGCAGGCTCCATGGTCAACGCCACCCACCTCTGGTCTCATGTCAGCTCCCCCCAGGCTGGGAGGCTGCTGCACACTGAGGCCTAGGGAGGATGGGCAGCTTGCCCAAGGTCGACAAGAAGGGGTGGAAGCAGGATTTGAATCCAGGCCTTTGTGACTCCGGGCCTTCTCAACCACCACCAGCCACAGCTATGAGCATGATGGGAAAAAGCCAGGCCAAAAGGGCACACACCCCTTCTCCTGGAACTCCACTGATGTGCCATCTCTCACTTCTCTGGAGCTTCAACTTTATGTCATTTGTAAGCCCTGGGCCAGGATTAGGGCCAGGCGAGTGATCACTCTCAGCACAATACTTAAGGGGATGTCAACAATTCAGTCTTTGAGGTGGATGTTTTAATGCAATATTTTAAAAAATCAAAAACAGTGCCTAAAATCCATTTAGAATAACATGTCAAAAGTTTAAGTCGAGGCAGACTCAGTATCACTGATTTTTCCTTTCGCCTCACGCTTCAGTACAGCAAGATACAGCAATCTTTTCTTTAAAAATTCTGATGTTGCCAGCACATGCTTATAATCCCAGCATATTGGGAGGCTGAGGTGGGAGGATCACTTGAGCCCAGGAGTTCGAGACCAGCCTGAGCAACATAGGGAGACCCCATCTCTACGAAGAAAGAAAAAAAAGTAGTCAGGCATGGTGGCATGTACCTGAGGTCCCAACTACTCAGGAGGCTGAGGCAGGAGGATCTCTTGAGCCCAGGAAGGTCAAAGTTAGAGTGAGTTGTGATCACACCACCACATTCCAGCCTGCATGAAAGAGCAAGACCCCTTTAAAAAACATTTTTGGCACCGGTCATGGTGGCTCACACCTGTAATCCCAGCACTTTGGGAGGCCGAGGCAGGCGAATCACCTGAGGTTGGGAGTTTGAGACCAGCCTGACCAACATGGAGAAACCCTGTCTCTACTAAAAATACAAAATTAGCTGGGCGTGGTGGTGCATGCCTGTAATCCCAGCTACTCGGGAGGCTGAGGCAGGAGATTTGCTCGAACTCAGGAGGCAGAGGTTGCGGTAAGCCAAGATTGCACCATTGCACTCCAGCCTGGGCTACAAGAGTGAAACTCCATTTAAAAACAAACAAACAAAAAACAAAACAAAACAAAAAAAGGTTTTTGGCACTGGGGCACTGGGTACAGTGACTCATCCCTATCATTCTAACACTTTGGAAGGCTGAGAAAGGTGGATCACTTGAGGCCAGGAGTTCAAGACCATCCTGGCCAATATGGTGAAATTCTGTCTACTAAAAACACAAAAAATAGCCAGGTGTAGTGGTACACGCCTGTAATCCCAACTACTTTTTTTTTTTTTTTTTTTTTTTTTTTTTTTTTTTTTTTTTTTTTTTTTTTTTGTGAGATAGGGTCTCACTGTTTCAACCAGGCTGGAGTGCAGTAGTGTGATCATGGCTCATTGTAGCCTTGACCTCCTGGGTTCAAGCAATCCTCCTGCCTCAGCCTCCCAAAGTGCTGGGATTACATACAGGCATGAGCCACTGTGCCTGGCCTATTTTTATCTTGATTGCTGAGTTTTTTGGTAGCTCCTTAAGTTTTGCATGGAGGCAAGTACCTCCCTCGCCTCACCCTAGTTGGGCCCGGGTGAGCCAGATACCATGGGAGGCGCAACAGGGAACCTCTGCCAAGGATATGGCAGGTGTGAATAAACCTTGGGCCCTCCACCTCATTCCCCAGCCTCGGCTCTCCTTTCCATGGGAGGTTGTGCTGGAAACAGGCCCCTGCCCTGCCTGCCCTGGCCCTAACCCAGGCCCAGGCCCACCCCAGGGGAGCTGCAGCTGTCCCTGTGTCTGTTGACAGTCACAGCGCTGTGGCTGTGCTGCAGAAGTGTGCTCTCTCGTCTTTCCAAGGCTGTTGTCTGTCTAAGGCAGCCTTGCTGGCTTTTGTCTCCAGGGACACTCCATGGCTGGGCTCTATCTTGCTAAAGGGCCTCTTCCCTAGCCTTCTCCAAGTTCTCCGATTTACCACACCTGCATCATCTCACTGAGGCCATCTCCTGGTCTGTTCTTGTGTTTACTTTCATTCCTCTGATGCCATCTCCTCTTGCATCAACTGGGGTTGCTCCCACTACCCCCGGCCATACCCCCAGCTCCAGACCTGCTCTGGACACAGCAGAAACAAATACTCCTGGCCCTATCTTGTTCTCGTTCCTCTCCACCTGGGACCTTCTTGGAAGCTTGGAATGTGCCTTCTCTGCCCTGTGCATGCTGAATGTTCTGGCCCCTTCCACCTACAACATCTCCCTTGGGCCAGACCTGACCTCAGCACAGCCTCCTCTGACCCCTGCTCATGTGCGGATACGTTCGAGCCTGGACTTTGTACTGGAGGCAGTGGAGGGGCAGCACTGAGGATGCTGGTTAGATGTAAGGAAGCCTAGGACCCAGGGTGTCTTGGGCACAACTTGCTGTGACACCCTGGGTAAATTCTTTCCTTCTGAGCCTCACTTTCCCCCTAGAAGCTCAAGGGAGTTGGCCTTCTGAGTCCCTTCCAGCTCTAACATGATAGAAATGCGTGATCTGGAGCTCTTTGCATGCACTCAGCAAAACTGTGATGTCATGGAGCACAGACCTGCAGACTCTTCTGCTCACAGGAGGTTTGTAGATGCTCTGACGACCACCCAAATCAAAGCAGGGACAGTCTGCGAGGTGCCGAGAGACAGCCCTCCCCACAGCCTCCAGGTTACTGATCATGGCTTTCCAGCAATTAACAGGTGGCAGGGAACAGTCTGCTAGCCACCAGCCCTGCCCCGAGAATGTGCAAACCTGACATCAGGGCTCCTGCCCCCAGCACAGAGCAGGCAGACTCATGTCTCCTCAAACTAGACCATCGAGTATTGATTCTTCTCCCTGCTTAATCCATGGGAAGGATTTCCCAGACTTTCCTACCAATTGCAGAGCGGCAGATGCTTTAAAATAATTGGATCCAAACTGATAATCTCCTGGTTTTATATCCTGTGGCATAACCCTTGATCCCAGGTTTTGCTGACACCACAGCAAGGGACTGGAGACTGTGTGTGCATGCGTGTGTGTGTGCATGTGTGTGTGTGTAGATAGCCACATCTGGAAAAACTGAGGACCAGAGAAACTCTGTCCACAGCTGAGGGAAGAAGTCACATTTCATGGCAAAGAATGTGTCCATAGAGGGTAAATTTCAAGGTCAGGCTCAGCTGTGTCGTGGACAGTCTGGGGGCTCTGGACAAGGGTGCAGCCTGGGTGAGAGGGGCCGTGGGTATCCCTCTCACCCGACAGTCCTCCTCTCCGGAGCTGGATCCCAGCGTCAGGTCCCAGAACCTCATCTCTATCCTCTTTCTCCCAGTAGATTCCTCCTCTCCTGTAAATGACCACAGAGAAAGACAATGAATGAAGTGAAAGAATGCCTCCGCGGCATCGAGCAGAAGTACAAGCTCTTCCAGCAGCAGCAGTTCACTTTCATCGCTGCACTGGAGCACTGCAGGGAGAACGCCCACGACAAGATCCGACCCATCTCTAGCATAGGACAGGTTGTGCTCCCGCCCCCCGCCCCGGGTGAGGGGCAGCAAGCCCAGCCCCGTCTCATGAAAGATGAACCCACCGGGGCCCAGGGAGGGGAAGCACGTTGTGCCAGAATCAGACTCAGAACCTAAATGGTGGAATGAGTCCTTCATTGGTTTCTCCACCAAATATGTAAGTGAATAACACAGCAGTTAAAGAGGCAGGCGCAAGACTCAGCCGGCCAGGGCTTAAGTCCTAGCTCTACCACGTGCCACAGCTTGGGCCAGTGACTTCACTTTTCTATGTCCTCATCTGTGACACAGGGTCAGTGGTCACCCATGGAAAACTGGGGATTTATTGGTGACCAGAAGGATCTCGTCCCCCCCGTCAGGTTCCACTGGCGGTTGAGGAATTGCAGCATGCCAGGCATACCACCAGGTGCTTTCTCAGATGCTTTTGTTTAACTTGCATCTTCTCCAGGGTTAGCTGCTGTCTAGGTTTGCTCTGCACGACTTAGAGGCCTCCAGACCAAATGTGCCTTCCGGGAAGTTAGGGTCTGGAGCCGCAGTGCAGTTAGGAAAACACAGGCAGCCCCCTTGCAGTTCGGAGGGAGTCAGCTTGTGGAAGGGTAACTGCCCCAAGATGGGTGGGAACAGCGCTGGGCTCAGAACCGCAGAGGAGAAACAGGCTCCGGAGGCACGAGCAACCCTCACTGGCAGCATCCTTTACAAACTTTTCTAATTTTTGTAAAATGTTCCCTCAATTTTTTTTAACTCAAAAAATGTTAAATGTAGAAGTCAGATGCAGTGGTTCATGCCTGTAATCCCAGCACTTTTGGGAGGCTGAGGTGGGTGGATCACTTGAGGCTGGAAGTTTGAGACTAGCCTGCCCAATGTGGTGAAACCCTGTCTCTACTAAAAATA